CACACACACACACACACACACACACACACCTGGTGGGATTTTCAAGCTGCCAAGTCCAGTATTCAAACAGCACAGTCGGCCATGTGGGATTCACCACCTTAACCTCCACCATGCCACCTACTGGCCCCTGGATTTTTCTTTTTTCTTTTTTCTTTTCCTTTCTTTTTTTCTTCTTTCTTTCTTTTTCTTTTCTTTTTTAACTCCCAGACAGTGCATACATTCAGCAGAGAGAGAAAGTACTCTTAGATGGGGATGGTCACACTGTGGTCCTTTTTCTCCCTTTCTCTATCCCTTCCCAATTTTAAGCTTGCACACACATGTGCCCAGCATATTTTTCTTTCTTTTTTTTTTTTTTCCTAAGAAGTTTTTGCCTTAGGACACATGCTCTCTCAGGAGAGAGAGACAGACACAGTGCCTCCCTGGGGGGGTGGGGGGGTGGCCACGCCACAGTCCCTTCTCTTCTATGCTCTTCCTGGGATCTTGGACACACACATAGCCCAGTGTGATTTTGAAGCTACCGGGTCCAGGACTTGAACCGCAGTCAGCCGTGATGGAGTCCAGCAGTGTATCTGCTACGCCATCTGCCAGTCGCAACCCAGCATATTTGTTTTTTCTTTCTTTCGAAGAGGTTTTTGCTATAGGGCGCGCGCGCTTGCCAGGCAGACAGAGAGACAGAGAGGCAGAAAGCGAGAAATCACCCCCCAGGGGGGATGGCCACGCCGCAATCCCTTCTCCTCCATTCTCCTCTCGGGATCTTGGACACACACATAGCCCAGTGTGATTTTGAAGCTACCGGGTCCAGGACTCGAACTATGGTCGACTACATGGGAGTCCAGCGACATAGCCATGACTCCAACTGCTGGTCCCAACCCAGCATATTTTTCAAGCCCTCAGGACCAGGATTCAAACCTAGGTCAGCCTTGTGGGATTGGATTCCCAAAGTACAACACTAAACCACTCTGTATTTTTTTTTTTTTAACTTGCTACAAGGAATATATGCTCACTGGAGAGAGACAGAGAAAGAGAGGGAAAGTGAGAGCAGGAGCATGGCCACATGTCAGTTCCTCCTTCATTCTCCTCCTGGGATTTTGGGCATGTATGCACACATGCCTGGCATGTTTCTCGGGCCACCAGGTTCGAGACTCTGAACTGTGCAGTCAGCCGCGTGGGATCCAACACTTTAACCTCCACTTCACCTGCTGGCCCTGAATTTTTCTTTTATAACCAACACTGAAAGAACAATGACAAGACCATTGGGGGGAAAAATTTTTGTTTTGGAGAGGTTTTTGCTATAGGGCGCGTGCGCTCACCAGAAAGACAGAGAGAGACAGAGAGACAGAAAGTGAAAAAACACCCCCCAGGGGGGATGGCCACGCCGCAATCCCTTCTCCTCCATTCTCCACTCAGGATCCTGGGCACACATGCACACGCGCCCGGCATGAGTTTAAGCCACCAGGTCTGGGACTCGAACCGCGGTAGGCTACATGGGAGTCCAGTGACATAGCCATTAGACTAACTGCTGGTCCCAGCTTTATTTATTTTAATTTGACCAGAGAGGGACAGAGTGAGAGAGTGGGGAGAAGGAGGTGGTGGTAAGAAAGCAAGCCTCCAGATCTGGGACTCGAACCGCAGTCAACTACATGGGAGTCTAGTGACATAGCCATTACGCCAACTGCTGGTCCCAGGGGAAAAAATTTTAAAGATGCAAAGGTTGTTCACAATCCTCCTGTGTTTATTTCTGTTCCTTACTCTGCTCGGATATTTCACTGCACTGCCAAATACTTTTAACTTTGAAACATTGCAGTTGTGTGGGGCCCTGTGTGGGTGATAGAGGCTGTCTCTGCATCCGTAAGGAGACGCTGGCCCGAGGGTCCTCACCCAGGCATTTCTTCCCCAGGGGACGTTTTCTTTATTGAGAGTGATAGGGGAGTGAGCCAGCCAGTGCTGTGGTGGTTAAGACAACTGGATCCCTTGGGACCAGCAGATGGCATAACAGCTATGTAGCTGGACTCCCATGTAGTTGACCGTGGTTCGAGTCCCGGGCACATGTATGTGTGTGCCCAAGATCCCGAGAGGACAATGGAGGAGAAAGGATTGCGGTGCAGCCAACCCCCTGGGGAGTGATTTCTCGCTTTCTATCTCTCTGTCTCCCTCTGTCTTTCTGGCGAGTATACACACCGCATGTCAGAAACCTTCCCCACCCCCCACCCCCCACCCCCGGGAACCAGCAGTTAGCGTAATGGCTATGTTGCTGGACTCCCCCCTAGTCGAACCCCGGTTCACTCCCGCGCCCCGGGG